ACCTAGAATTATTCTAATTATTAGAAAGAGAAAAGGTTACTATTTGAGTGGAATGGGTAATAACCGCCATCCTAATACGTGAGGACCCGAGAATAATGCTCATCGTAAAAATTTCAATTAATATGAATCCATGATTAAATTTTGTCACGCCTATGGAATCTTTTTTGTTACTAGGGAACCATTATGACAATCAGTCAATTGGTCAATAGTTTTATGAAGTCATCTTTATTAGTAAGTAGTCGTTATGAAGACCAATCAAATGGTCACTTATACCAAAATAATGAGATGTAACCAGCAAAATAGTTGTTTGAAGCCACCTCAAAGCAAGGCTGAAAGAGGTAGTGATGGCATTGGTAAGAGTAATTTGACCCCATAAGCATGGCAAACGACCGCCGAGACCCCCTATTCTGTCACAAAGTAGATTTGGGGGGCGCTATTGATGCCTGTCCAAACCCATGCAATGGAGACAACTCATCAAAAAGGAGGAGAAGACGATGGCACAACCTCGGCGAAGGAGATGGTCATCCACGAAGAAGCATTTCGATACCCTATAATGGTGTTGAAATTGATAGATGCTTTGGGAGGATAAAAGAGTGTCATGCCACTTTTGGAGATCATTACTACTATGGAGAGCCCAAGGGAGAAGTTCAACAAGTTCTGGATAATTAGAGGATTAGGAAGAACATCATCAACTCAAACTCCTAATGGACATAATGAAATCATTCGAGTATACGAATAGAATGAGGATCATGGTCATTGAACAATCATTTGTCTCCTAGATAATCATTATCTAGAGCAAGAAATGGTGGCTTCTAGTATCAACATAACATCCTATCACTTCCACTCTATGAGAATATGAGACTAACTGACATGGAGGATATAAAAATGGAGATCAAGATGGCAGAGAGCACTCTATGTCAACCTATATGAGGATTCCTTACATGCAACATATCATCAGCACGAAGAAGACCTATAATGAAAAGACAAGTTGAAAGAACCTCCAGAAACTCCGAATTTGAAGCTAGCACAAATGGCACTCAAGATAGCATGTACAAGGTGAAAGATGTTGCTAGAGAAGATTGAGGAAGTGGAGTACGTAGCATTAGGGGACTTTCAAGAGTACATACGCTAATGTGGATTCAATCCATATCCCATGGAGCTAACAACGATGAACGCACTTAGAGACCATCGATTATGGCTCATAGAGGCGCACACTTAATCATGGGCTATCCTAACTTTCTTGTTCTTCATTGATTATGTGATTGCATGAAGTGAAAGCACGCATTATTTAGTCAAATATCTATTGCAAGAGGCGCATGCATGGGTAGAGAGTGGACTTAGAGGACGAGATATGACATCATAATAGATTATTCATAGAAGCATCTTCTCGATGAGTTAGTGTGCATGATCATCTAGATAACACTACCTAAAAAATCCTTTTACTTGTTTTGTTTGCTTTCTTACATTGTTGGTCCTTTTCTTTCATAGTAGCTTAAGATCTCGAATTCAAGGGCACCTTACCACTAGTTTTACATTTCTTTGCATCAACATTCGAAAATATTAGGGTAGGTTTGAGTAGTTACTATCAAAAGACCTCGTGGAATACGACCCGATGAACTCCTAGGATTTATCACTTGTTGCTACATCAAGAAGCTATTGCACCTAGTCTAAAGGCCATCGTTGAGATTACTAATCCTACGCGGTCTATGGAAAGATTCTTAAAGAAAAGCCACATGCTCAAAAGCTTAGATTAGAGAACATACTTGCCCACATGCATATGCTAGTGCTACAAAAGTTTACTAATCCATGACATTTATCTTAAGCTACAAGGCTCAGAGGAAATAGCCATGCAAAACAAGCAAGTTGGCAATATTGTTTGTTGCATACCCTAGAGGCATGGTCAAGGATGTGCCACTCGAGATTGGACCCTTTTTATTCTCTCTTGACTTTCTAGTACTTGACATGGATAGAGATATAGACTCCTATATCCTATTTGGGAGGCCATTCTTATCATCCCCTGGACCATTTATCGATATTCCTGCACGAAGGATCACTAATAACACAAATTATAGTGTTCTCATGGTCCTATATTTGTGATAACACCATATTCACACATGTTTTTTCCAACAATTCTCGACAGCTTGGTTTAGCCTTTGATTGCTTTTTGGTCCATTTTATGCTAGTTAGTGCTTTTCGATGATGTTTTATGTCCTTGCACGTAAATGGAGGCCGAGGAGCAAGTCTGGATGCAACTGGAGAGCAGACGAAAACCGGAGGCGAAAGCAGCATAACCCACTGTCTGGTGCCTCAATTCCACAACTGTGGATTCCACGTTTCAACCGTGGTTCCTATCCAGGGACATTCCCTGGCCTGGTGTCTCAATTCCACGATCGGGGATTTCAGGTGGATTATGGTTCGTGAGCCACTAACCACCACACAACGTTTTGGAAATCCATGGTCTGAACCCCAAATCCATGACCGTGGATTCTGACCGTGGATCGCGGCGTCGGGTCTTCTAATCTACACCTGGAGGAAGTTGGTTCCGGTTTTCCAAGTTCTAAAGAGAGAGGAAGAATCCTAGAGAGAGAAAGTGACGAAGAACAACCTTGGGAGCAGATTGAAGCGATCTAAGGACATTGGAGCTTGATCTTTCACCCTCGTAGCGTCGATCTCCAGTATGGAGCATATTTTCATTCCTCTCATGATGATTTCTCTTCCAAACTTGGTGTTTTTATCTTCTCTCCGTGGAGTAAACTTCCTTTTCATCTAGGTATGAAAACCCCTAGTTTTGTATGTTAGGAATGGTTGCATGAACCCAGTTTGTGAATGATTGATTCGATATATTCAATTGAGACATTAATCAGAATTGATTGAGTTATGATCAATGGAGATGCCTTCATCGTTGATTGTTGTATTGTCCCTCTCTCTTATGGTTAGGGAAAGTTCGTATTGTTTAGGGTGTGAATTGTATGATACTTTGGGTATTACTTTCAATGATTAAATTATATATTTTTGCTTATGAAATTCTATTTTCGATTCTCAGATTTCTTAGTTTTGTGCTTAATACCATTATAGGTTATGAGGAACTCACTCTTGTGTGGTATGCTATTGACTTGTGCACGTATGATATGATTGAACACAATTAGTCCTTGGGTTAAAGACACGTTTGGTCACTGAGATTACAAAATCGGGACATGTTTAGTCACTAGAAAAAGTTAATATCAAATTTGGTCACTACAATTACTAAAACTGGACGCATTTAATCACTCGCCGTTAGTCTCCGTCCAACTCCGTTAATGAAGTCTGTTAAGTGCTGATGTGGCAAACAGAATTGCCTAATCAGCCGGATATAACCCAACAAAAATAAAACCCGACCCCCCACGTCATTATAACCCGCCACCTCATTAAAACCAACCCAACCCATGACCCAACCCTACCCAACCCTTCTTCCTCCTTCCTCCCCAACCCAATTTAGGGTTTTCCCATCTCATCCAACTGGAGAAAAAATGGCGGAATTCCTGGAGCTGGAGACTCAGGACGGCGTAAGGATGTCGTGGAATGTGCTTCCGGGAACCAAACAGGAAGCGGCCAACTGCGTCGTTCCGATCGCCGCGATCTACACTCCGATCAAGCCCTTCCCCAACATGCCGGTCCTGACCTACGCTCCTCTCCGCTGCCGCACCTGCCGCTTCGTGCTCAACCCTTTCGCAATCGTCGATTTCGCGGCCAAGATCTGGATCTGCCCCTTCTGTTTCCAGCGCAACCACTTCCCCCCGCAGTACGATTCCATCAGCGAAGAGCATCTCCCCGCCGAGCTCTTCCCGCAGTACACATCGATCGAGTATGAATCTCCGGGAGAAAACCCTTCTTCTTGTTCCACCAGTGCCGTACCCGGGGGAGGGGAGAGGATGGTGAAAGCGGGAGAGGATGGGATGGGGAAAACCCTAAATTGGGTTGGGGAGGAAGGAGGAAGAAGGGTTGGGTAGGGTTGGGTCATGGGTTGGGTTGGTTTTAATGAGGTGGCGGGTTATAATGACGTGGCGGGTCGGGTTTTATTTTTGTTGGGTTATATCCGGCTGATTAGGCAATTCTGTTTGCCACATCAGCACTTAACGGACTTCATTAACGGACTTGGACGGAGACTAACGGCGAGTGACTAAATGCGTCCAGTTTTAGTAATTGTAGTGACCAAATTTGATATTAACTTTTTCTAGTGACTAAACATGTTCCGATTTTGTAATCTCAGTGACCAAATGTGTCTTTAACCCATTAGTCCTTAATGAGTGACTTATTAGCGGGGAAAAAGGAGGACCGGGCCTCTGTGCTGTGGAGCAGAGCTTCATTTTGTTTCTCCTCTAGAGATCGGGCTCAAGCCTCCAGCTAACTTCGGAACCGGGACCAGGCTTTGATTGGGCCACCAGGATACTTGGGCCTCCCCTCGGCCTCCTCGTCTCAGCCGGTGACCGTACGTCAACGCTATGGCACAAAAAAGGAGGCTTTGATATTAACTTTTTCTAGTGACTAAACATGTTCCGATTTTGTAATCTCAGTGACCAAATGTGTCTTTAACCCATTAGTCCTTAATGAGTGACTTATTAGCGGGGAAAAAGGAGGACCGGGCCTCTGTGCTGTGGAGCAGAGCTTCATTTTGTTTCTCCTCTAGAGATCGGGCTCAAGCCTCCAGCTAACTTCGGATCCGGGACCAGGCTTTGATTGGGCCACCAGGATACTTGGGCCTCCCCTCGGCCTCCTCGTCTCAGCCGGTGACCGTACGTCAACGCTATGGCACAAAAAATGTGTACGCAGATCGCCATTGCAACGCGATGCGACGTCGCTTCAATCCCCACAACACACCTATCACCGGGCGCGAGATCTCATTCTCATCTGACTCTCTGAGCAACCGAGGGAAGTTTCCATTTCCATTTCCCGTTTCATCACGAGACTTCCATTCCACTCCACCTTTTCCCCCCCGCCCAATCCTCTCTTTCACCGTAGCGAAGATGACGAAGCCGCCGGCAATTCGTCCGTCCCTCCTCGCCCTGGCCGCGGCTGTCGCCGTCGCATCCCTCATCGCCACCGCCTCCGCCGAGATCAAAACCCTAAGGATTTCCAACGACCCCAGGCCGATGATTCTCTTCGAGAAGTTCGGATTCACTCACACCGGCCACGTCACGATCTCAGTCTCCGGCGTCTCCGTCTCTTCCTCCATCAACGCTCCCAATCCGGACCCTTCAGGTTTGGGCTTCTTCCTCCTCTCCGAAGAGTCTCTGTTGCAGGTCCTGCTCGAGATGCAGCAAAACCCTAATTTCTGCGTCCTCGGATCCAAATACGTCCTCAATCTGTTCAGCTTTCGCGACCTTTCACCGCCGCCGCTCTCTTCCTTCAACCAATCCTACCCCATCCCTCACCCGAATGAGTACTCTCTCTTCTTCGCCAACTGTGCCCCGGAGACGAAGGTCTCCATGAATGTTCGCACTGATGTCTATAACGTCGATTCGGATGGGTCCAAGGATTTCCTCTCCGCTGGGCAAACACAATTGCCTTCTCTGTATACCGTATACTCCACTGCTTACCTCGTGTTTATGGGTTTCTGGATCTACCTGTGCCTTACGAACAAGAGATCTGTGCACCGGATCCATCTGTTGATGGCTGGACTGCTTCTGATGAAAGCTCTTAACTTGATCTGTGCCGCGGTGGACAAGCATTACGTGAAGGTCACTGGCACCCCACATGGGTGGGATGTGTTGTTTTATTTCTTCCAGTTTCTTCGTGTTGTGTTGCTCTTCACTGTCATAGTGTTGATTGGCACTGGGTGGTCGTTCTTGAAGCCCTTTTTGCAAGAGAAGGAGAAGAAGGTGTTGATGATTGTGATCCCTTTGCAAGTATTGGCAAATGTGGCTTCTGTGGTGATTGGCGAGACAGGGCCGTTCATTAGGGATTGGGTGACCTGGAATCAGGTGTTCTTGCTGGTGGATATAATCTGCTGCTGTGCCATAATCTTCCCAATTGTGTGGTCGATTCGTTCGCTCAGGGAGACATCCAAGACTGACGGCAAAGCAGCAAGGAATCTAGCGAAACTGCAGTTGTTTAGGCAGTTTTACATCCTTGTTATCGGGTACCTGTACTTCACAAGAATTGTAGTGTTTGCCCTGAAGACCATTGCAGCATATAAGTATCAATGGGTGAGCAGTGCTGCAGAGGAAGCAGCAAGTTTGCTGTTTTATGGAGTGATGTTCTACATGTTTAGGCCGTTGGAGAAGAATGAGTACTTTGTGATTGATGAAGAAGAAGAAGAGGCAGCTGAGATGGCATTGAAAGATGAAGAATTTGAGCTCTGAGAAGCCACATTATGAAGGAACACACTTCTGCTCCCTCCTCAAAGTTGCAACAGGTCCCCTGATGATGACTTGCGTACAAGTTGGTACTTCATTTAACTTGTTTCTAGTTTTTTCTTTCTTCCGGGGTCTTGTTTTGTTGTTATAAGAACCTTTGCAGAGTTTTACCTTCATTCTGTAGTTATGTACTTTTGTGCTTAATCTACTTGTCATGTTATAATCTGGATGATGATGACGATAGTTCTCGTTCCCTTATTCAGAGAGCCAATTTCTTGGGCTCATATTGTTCTTCTCCTTGATCATTGCAATGTATCAAGATTCATAATCACTCAATCTGCTAGATCTGCTTTCATTGTTGGTTGGGGGTGGCCTTTGTAAGCATCGGAGGCAGGAAAGAACTTCCTCGTTGGTTGTATGTTCTTGGACTTGGTACTATCTCGTATTGCGTATTCATTGGATGCAAATTTTGGAATTTTGCTGCGTATCCATTGGATTCATACTGGCAAACGGTCATGGACAATTGATAATTTCCTTGTTCGTTCTGTTCCAACGTGGGCCGGGTACCTTTCTCGACGAATCTTTGATTGTCTCGTCTGTCTGGGGTATGACAAACAACTAAAGCATTCAATTTTTCTTTTATGATTAGACATCCTATTTTCTTTAATGCTGAATCTCGTCCTAAAATTACTATTTGTCGTACTAATTTTGGGCTCAAGTTAGGGTGCATAACCATGGGTTATGCACCCATCAATAACCAAATCTGGACCCTTCATTTAGAAAATGGTTAATACTTTATTCTGGCCCGAATTATGATCATATAATCAACTTTGGCCAGTGGTTTTACAAATTAACATCCTGGCCTCAACTATGCAGCATATATACTCAATTGGCCGGACGCTTGGATTTCCGTCAAATTAAACGGTCAACTGTGTTGACCGTTAATGAATTAGCATCTAGTGCTGACGTGGATGCCATGTAGATAATATAAATTAATAAAATATTAATTATTTAATGAAATTAATAAAATAAACCAACAAAGTCCTCCTCTTGATAATAAAAAAAGTCATCCTACCCTTCCCTTCCCTGCCAGCCAATTAAAAGAAGAAGAGAGCGCCGCACACTAAAACCCTAATCCCCAAATCCAAAATCCCACACACCAACAATTCTTCTTCTCTTACAACTCTCCGACTCGCTTTCAATTTCACCTCTACAACCAATCGAAATAACTTTTGCTCCTCTATCCCCTCTTTCTCGCTCGTCGGGGTTTGTTAATTGCTTCCCTGAATTCGGTAAGAACGAGAAAGAAGGAGACAATGGCGAGATTTGGTCTGGAACCGTGACAATAGCGGCGAATCTCCAACCGCCGGAGTGTCGGCGACCTCGAGCTTTTTCTGGCGCGTTTGTGTGCATCGCCGCCGCACCTCAACCAGTGTAAGAGAAGCATGACGGAGATCTACCTGATTTCGATGTCTCTGAGCGCGAGGTGTACGTTTCGTATGACTGGCAGCAGGATCAAGATCGGGGAAGGCGGAGGCTGTTCTTTGGTGAATGAGAGAGAGAGAGAGAGGGTGAAGAGCAGCGATGGGGGTCGGGGATTGGACTGCAAGTCTGCAACCCCTCGCTCGTCAATTTTTTTTTTTACCAAAATGTTTTTGTTTTATCATTATTTATTTTCAATAATTATGAAAGTTAAAAATAAATTATTTTTATTAATTTATTTGATATTTTATTAATTTTTAATGTCTACATGGCATCCACATCAGCGAAGCATGCTGATTCACTAACGGTCAACTTTGTTGACCGTTTAATTTGACGGAATTTTACACGTCGGGCCAAATTAGTCTGTATGGTGTATAATTGAGGCCATGATAGCATTTTCTAAAACCATTGGCCAAAGTTGATTATATGGGTATAGTTCAGGCCAAAATAAGGTATTAACCCTTTAGAAAATCCAGATCTAAGGATGGAGAATTAAAGCCTATTTTTATTTTCACTAGCTTTCTTAATTGACTCATATCTTTTTCGTTTTAACTCAGATTTTAGTTTTTTTTGCACAGATGGAACGAGTTCATCGTGCTCTACAAAATGAGATCAATTTTCAATATTTTTTGAGGAAAACAAAATTCTGGCCTCTCGGTACCAACTGCATACCATATGGTATCTTCTTCGTTTTTAATTCGTTTTTGAAAACGTTTGCACAATAGGGACGAGTTCATCATGATCTATTGGATCTACAAATTTCTGGGTGAACAAATTACAAGACAAAAAAAAAATACCACACAATACCATACAATACCATCCTGGTACGGGGTGGTATTTTATGGTATCTTATGGTATACAATGTTAAAAATCGTAAATGACAATTAATATACTTCTACTATCATGTATTCAACCATCCTACAGTTTTGGTTTGTGTCATACCACCATGGTATGCTTTTCAAACCATATGTATGCTCTTATTTCAATACCAGTCAATACCATATGGTATAGACTGGTATAAAATGACTCGATTTTTTTTGTTCGAAAAATATATCAAAGTGGATATCATTTTGAAGAGCACAATTAATCTGATCTAACTGTGCAAAAAAAATTAAATTTCGACTTAAAACGAGTGAGAAATCATCCGTCAAAGATTAAGGAGGGGAAAATTAAAGACTTTCTAGGAGAGAGAGGATGATGATGTCATGCTGATGTGGACATGTTACTCATAGTTACCTGATCCATTCTCCTAATTTTGGGGAATGGATCAGGTCAGTAACTTTATGATGAGTAACTATGAGTAACCCGCCCACATTAGCATGACATCAGCATCCTCTCTCTCTCCTGGAAAGCCTTTAATTTTCCCCTCCTTAATCTTTGACGGACGATTTCTCACTCGTTTTAAGTCGAAATTTAATTTTTTTTGCACAGTTAGATCAGATTAATTGTGCTCTTCAAAATGATATCCACTTTTATATATTTTTCGAACAAAAAAAATTGAGCCATTTTTTACCAGTCTATACCTTATGGTATTGACTGGTATTGAAATAAGAGCATACCTATGGGTTCAAAAGCGTACCATGGTGGTATGAACAAACCAAGACTGTAGGATGATTGAATACATGATAGTAGAAGTATATTAATTGTCATTTACGACTTTTAACATTGTATACCATAAAATACCACCCCGTACCAGGGTGGTATTGTATGGTATTGTGTGATATTTTTTGGTCTTGTAATTTGTTCACCCAGAAATTTGTAGATCCAATAGATCATGATGAACTCGTCCCTGCTGTGCAAACGTTTTCAAAAACGAATGAAAAACGAAGAAAATACCATATGGTATGCAGTTGGTACCGAGAGGCCAGAATTTTTTTTTCCTCAAAAAATATTGAAAATTGATCTCATTTTGTAGAGCATGATGAACTCGTTCCATCTGTGCAAAAAAAATTAAAATCCGAGTTAAAACGAAAAAAATATGAGTCAATTAAGAAAACTAGTGAAAATAAAAATAGCCTTTAATTCTCCTTCTTTAGATCTGGATTTTCTAAATGAAGGGTCCAGATTTGGTTATTGATGAGTGCATAACCATGGATTATGCACCCTATCTTGAGCCCTAATTTTGATACCCAACCTATATAATTAGCCTTTTTCAATTTTGGAATTGAAAACCCAACCAAACAAGACCTTCCCTCCATCTGTTTCTCTCCGCCGACGGCAGACCAGTCAGCCCTTTACTGTCCTGCCTCCATCCCCAGTCCTCTTCTCTCTGACCGGTAAGCATTTTGCCGCCTTTATCCTCTTCGTCGCGCGCCAGTCGGCCATTCTCCTCCATTCTCCGACCACCGCCACACTAGTCTCTTCCGCCTCCAATCACCGCCGCACCAGTCCAGCCTGAGTTCCCCGAGAAGAAGACCGGAGGAAGAGAGGGAAGCATCACCTGCCCAACCTTCCCGACCAGCTAGTGAAAATCTAGCCTTGCTCCACTCTGCCCGCCCAGAGTCCCAACTCCCAACCCCTGCTCTGCCTCCCTCGTCTCTGTATGCAGAAGAAAGACGATGAACCGCCGGAAGAAACAAAGATTTCGTTTGGCCCAGGCCCCAACCGAAGGTTTGTTTTCGTTTGGCCCATGGTCAACCGAAGTCAAAGCTTCGATTTGGCCCAGGCTCGGGTTAATTGCATGGTTGGTCACTGAGATTACAAAAAACGTTCACGTTTGGTCACTGGAAATATTTAAATCCAATCTTGGTCACTCAAATTATTTAAATGGTTCAAGTTTGGTCACTCTCCGTCCATTTCCGTTAACTCTAGCTTACGTGGCAGTCAACTTTCATAGTTGACCGTTAAATATGTGACGTGGCAATTAAAAAATTATTAAAAATAAAACAAATAATCTTTTACATTTTCCACCTCATTATTACATTAATTAAAAAACAAAAACAAAAATATTTTGTCCACTGATAGAAAGAAGAGAAAAAATTCCCAACCTCCGTACTCTTCCCCCACCACTCTTTTCCGACCTCTCTTCCCAGTTCCCCCCACCATTAACCCTTCTCCAACCATTTCCATTCCAATCCCCAGAAATCCCTACCAAGAAGGAGGCAACAACGATAGTGATGAAATCAAAGACAGTTCAATAGAAGAAGAAGGGGAAAATAAAGGGAGAGTGAGGAAATCCGAACAGAGAAGGGAACGAAAAAGAGAGAGGCGGCTCCCGTGGTCCTCTCCGTCGTCGTCAGCTCGCCGTCCTCGAGGCATCAGCCGATTCACCTCTGTCGCTGCCTCAGCCTCCACCAGCAAGACGAGCGAGTCCTCCAGCGGCTCGCCGGCGACGAAACTGATTCACTCTAGTGAAACGACGCGCTGTGATTGTTCATCGAGCCGCGTCGGGATCTGACGAATTGGAAACCTAATTGGCCTTTGATTCGGATCTCCGGCGCTGTTAGCGGAGGAAGATTGGGCGCAATGTTCAGATCTTGAGCTTCAATGATTGTGACTCGCAAGTACCACAGTTTTGGGGATTG